TCTTGTTCTAGGCTCTCTTTTTCTTAGTCTGTTGCCTTCCCCTTCTTCTCTAAGATTTAGGGGTTCAGAGTGTGAATCAGATTCTTTTTCTCCAGAGAGTTGTTCCTCTTGGCTTCTTGTATTTACGTCATCTCTACTTTCTTGTTCTTCCTCGGGTCCTAGGTATCGTTCACGAAATTCCTGTGCTTTTTCAATTGTATCAATTTTGTATTTTTTGTCCTGCCACGAAACTAAAAGCCCCTCTGGGGTGAGCCACCTAAATGGAATACCATTTCTAATAAGCTGAGTTGATAAAAATTGGTAGCCCCTTCTCTGCTCTCTGACTCTCCTGTCTGTCTCCTCGCATAGTATGTATATACTCTGTAGACCTTGTCTACATCAATTTCAATTTCCAGTTTGGGTTTCTGTAAAGCCGCCGCTATCAGATTCGTCATAATTGCACGTAAATCTTCCTTTTTGTCTTCCACAACATTTTGGAACCTAAGATGAAATGATGCCTTCTTTAATTCCATGTGTACCATCGAATCCCGGAGTTTGCAATAGAGCACTTTCCAATTTTGTTCTGAATCCTCTAATTTCTTCTCCACCATCTCCGTTCTTGCCTCTACTAAATTTAATTTCTGTTCATTTTTTATCACTTTTTCCTGCATCTTTCCAATCTTACTATTCAAATTTTGTATTTCATTTTTCACTTGTCCTATTTCAGTTCTCATCTCTGTTTTCATATTTTCATGGTTCCTCGCTATCAATTCGTGGGTTTTTACCATCATTTCCTGCATCATAGTGAGCGTTGCCTGTACTGTCTGCAGGCTTTGAGCTGAACGAGTTTTTTCTGCCAGTAGCATTGCATCTATAGATCTCTGCCCCATAGGTGAAGACATCGTTGTAGTTTCTTTCCTGATTTTACATTTGTAATTGATGTTGTCGCCATTTTAACTATCTGTAGCAGCTCTTTCCAATCTACCATCAACTATCCCTAGTAGAGCACTATTTTCCTCTCCTTTTCAGTTCAATAGTAATATTAATACATATATTATTGTATTATTAATTACTAAAATTCTATTATGGAAAATCACAATCAGCTCTTATTTCTATTTTTTCTTATTGAACTTATTCAACTATTACAATACTTAAGAGAATTCAGTATTAATCAAATACAGATATATTTACTCACAAAATCAACAGTCTTATATGCTTAACTAATTAATTTAAAGCAGCTAATTCATTGAAGTAATTAAATTCTTATCTATATATAAATATCAATTAATCTATTTCTTTAGAGTTCTTAGTTATATGCTTACCTCAGAATAAAAATACCTCAATTTCTTACTATATGATTATTATTTGAAGGTCTGAATTCTATATTTATACAACACACTTTCAACTGTCCAGTTATTCAAAAATAACCAGTATTCTTAAATCAATATTCTAACACATATATATCTATTAAGATTATGTTTTACCAATATTATTTAGTTACATCTATGATTGACTAATTGAATGATGTCCATGGATCTTCTTCTTCTTCTTTTTTTGATAAATACCTTATTACAGTTCTTAGTTCGAATTCAAAATGTCCTCTTTAAATTTGCACAGTCATTTCCACCATTTCGTTTCTCCTTTCTATTTTGGCTTCTTCTTCTTCTTGCTCCTTTATTCTTTTTCTCCACACAGTCCTAGTTCCACTTATAAATTTTAGTTATCTTATTTCTTCCTTTTTTCTTTATCACAGTTATCAAACAAATATTGCAATTATAAGGTTTCTTTCCTCAATCCTTTCCTTAAATCTTTTAAAGTGTCAATTGTTCTCTTTTCAAGTTTTCAACTCTCAGCTGTTCTTCCAATCTCTCTGTCTCACTTGGACACGTCACTGTCACTTTTTCTTTCTTCCCACAATTCTCAAACGTCAATCGCCAAAAAATATAATTATACAACCCCCTTTTCAGCTCCCAAAGTAAAAGTAAACGGTGTTGTCTCACCCTTCAGCTCCTCCGTTTTCAGCGCTCCATTAATCAGCACAAATTACTGCCGTTTCTTTAGTTAGTACTCCTTCCGATATTTCTGCCACTTCGCTGCACTGTTCGGTTTGGAGTTTCAATTTTCAATTTCCCTTTGTAGTATAAATCAGTATTCTGGAAATCTTCTTTAAGTTCACCTTTCCACTACTCAATTTGCTGTTTTCCACTCTTTGCTTCCTTCCTTCTTCTTTAAGCTGCTGGGCTGCCACGTCTTTGGTTCCGATCTGTACGAGCTCCCTCTTCTGCTGTTGGTTTTCAGAGGATTCTCTTGTAATCTCCAGGATCGTGGCACCTCCCCGAGATCGACAGGTCTTCCCCTTTTGTCTGTCTACCCCTCTGAGGTCCAACATGCTCCTGGAAACCACCAAACAGTGAAAATTGGAGCCTTTCAGAGTGGCGATCCGCTCCTCAGCTCCGCATCAATGCAGTGCCCAGCTGGAAGCCCTCCCAAGTTAGAACTGTTTTTAATCGCTTTATATTTTTGTGATTGCCATGCCTATTTTCCATTTAAAGCTTGTGATGAACCAAAATACTTTGGAGGGGAGGGGGAAAAGAAACCACTCCACTTATTCATATCTCACAAGATACAATATTTATTCAAATCATATCAATTTGTATATCTAAGTAATTTTGAGAAACATATTTTTATTTTGAAGAAGTGCAGCCTGTATGGAATGTAGTATATATATTCTGAATACATGTATTAAGTAAAAGAGAATTTTGGAGTTTATCCTCCAAAATCTAATAGGTCCCCCATGTTCTAAACTCACTGAGCTAGATTAAGAATTAGGAAACTTTGGAGAAGTCCCAATGAAATTTCTTGGATTTAAATTAAACACTACATTAGGGCACATGGGCTTCAAAGCATCTATTCCAAGTGCAATTAACTTTAATCCAACTTCTGTTTCTTATTCTAAGAAACATTGATTTTGTTCTAGTAGTTTGGTTTTGTAAGCAACAGTGCTTTGCAAATATTGTAGCTAAAATGACGGACTTTCTACTTGCAATTAGTAAGATAGTAGTCAAGACCAAATAAATTTTAATACAATCATTCAAAATGCATGCAAATATCCTCAGAATTCAGGACTGATTTGGCATCAACAGACATTAGCAAAAGCATACAATAGAGAATTAAAAACAGTCATTTGGACTTTGTCCAGTACAGAAATCCAGATTAAACAATTCCAGGTAGATAGATTGATAACTGTTTAATTTTTTGTAAAATCCAAAGAAGGGGGGAGATCTCTTTGCATAACTGTTGCCATTGTTGAAATGCACTCACTGTAAGGATATTTTCCCATATTTTTTTATTAGAATATACCTTCCTGTGTACTTTTGTGCACCTGGATATTATTCTTAATATCCCAGTTTAAATTACAGGCACCAGAGCTATGCCAGTAATGACTCTGTTTAAAAACCAAACAGCCATGTGAAAAATCTGCCTTTTATGAAGACAAAAATATCCATATTTTCTAAATACAGAAAAATAAAACATTGTTTCACATAACCATTTTTTTCTGACCATTTTTAAAAATTATTGTCTATTTACCAGAGCACCCAGTAAAAAAATCCATGATTATATTTTTCTTGCTACTGAAGAATATTCAATTTTAAAAGTACATTATTTTCTGCTTTAAATTTCATAGATTTAAGATGCATTCTTGGATGCTTTAAGTATGAATAAGAAGATAGCTTATTTAGCATTAAAACAAACACTTCACACACACAAAGGAGGTTGGAAAATTTAACATTAAAAATAAGTTCTATGTGTCATACACATCTATTGAGCCTATTTAAAGACATTCTTCAAGAAAGCATTAACTATGAATTGTGCATTAAGACTTCAGATTGCAAAGATGGCTCTCTAGAAATACGATCACAACTGCAAATTGCTTTTAAAAAGGTAAGGAGATTTGATATCCAAACTGTATTTCATTCCATATATATGGATTTTAATGTTAATTTTTATATATTGTTTTACTTATGGTTACATTAAATTGCATACTGCCAGAGCCTCTCTGCGAGGGAGATGGACAATTTACAAATATGAAATATAAATAAATGCAATTATATTTTAATAGTTATCACAAACTTTAATATGTGTTTACAATGATACATTTTTTGTGTCTTCAGTTAGGAAAAAAACTGCAATTTGTCAAACACAAATGTAACTCCCATTATTGGCATAAAACATCTGTTACAGGTAATCTTCAACTTACGGCCACAATTGAGACAAAATTTCTGTTGCTAAGTAAGATATTTGTTAAGTGAATTTTGCTCCAAGTTATGACCTTTCTTAACAACAGTTGTTAAGCGAATCAACTGCAGTTGTTAAGTGAATCTGGCTTCTCCATTGACTTTGCTTGTCTGAAGTTCACAAAAGGTGATTACATGACAGCAGGACACTGCAAGTGTCACATATATGAGTCATTTGCTAAGTGTCTGAATTTTGATCACATGACCAGGGTATGCTGCAATAGTCAGAAGTGTGAAAAATGGTCCTCAATCACTTAGGATCTGTGTCTTTGTAACTTTGAATGATAAATAAACTGTTGTAGGTTGAAAACTACCAGTATTTGTCAAACACAGAGATAAAATCTTTTAAATATTATTTGTTTGATTCACAATATGTTATACTCAGAGGAGAGTATAGTGAAATGAATAACTTCTCAGTAATTTCAGTCACATATGAATCTGAAAACAATCATTAGGTTTCCGATGAACCATGGTTTGTGTAAATGAAAAGTGAAATGGTTTATACAAGCACCAGATTTGTGCCAAGTGGCACATATAATGCAGTCTGCTCTGGTATATCCTGAATTATCACCCAAACTTTGAGAGGTAATGTCCTTTGATATATCTTTCTGAATTGGGCTGTTTTGTTCTAAGCTCAACACATCTCTCCACTTTCTTGCTCCCAATTTCACTTGTTCTATTAGTGATTTTAAAATTTGGCAATTGATAAAATTTAGCATAACTTACCTTTGGATCTCTGAGAAAAAGGGCTTTCAAGATTAATGAATGAACATCCCCGATAGGTGGATAGTGCATCAAAAGGCCCAAGCAAGTCTGATAATTACTTGATATCACTAAAAGAAAAGAAAACACTGTAATTAAATGGCTGGTAGTTGCTTGACTATAAAATACAGTCAAGAGTTATTTGGCATTTCATTATGAGGCAGAAGTGAAAAGAAAGGAAAACTCAGAAAAAAAAGAGAAGAGAGAAAAGCCAGAAGTAGGGTAAAACTGAAAGGTAAGAGAAAGGAAAAGGGTGTCTGGTGGAATGCATCCCAAAGCATAGTAGGAAGGGGCTCTTTCCCAGACAGTAATGAGACAGCTTGAACCTAGAACCTCTGGCGTGCAGGTAAAGGATGAAGGCAAACCCTGCTTCAACAGAATAGTTCTAGAGACAGATAAATAAAGTTTTGAATTATTTATAAATATTTGATCCACCAAATAAAGGAAAAACAGGTAATATATTTCATAATCTCCATGATTAAAAATACTAAGTAATCAGATGAAAGAGGGGGAGGAGAAGGAAGAAAATTGATAATGGATTATATAAATATCAGAATACTTTTATCATTTTGGGAGACTGGTGGTGAGATTTTAAAACTATACTTATTTGGAGACAAAATAAATTTAAAAGTTATGATAATTTTGCTCAAATAAATCCAGTGCCAATTTATCCTTTTCCAATTATGAATTGAAATTGAAAATTAAACAGTTTAACAGAGAACAAATAATTTTAATTAAACATATCCAATGTGTTTAAAGTATTCTAGATATGTTCCAAATATATCCAACACCATCAACAAAACTAGGTCTCGCATCACTAACCTCTTGATTTCAATTCATTCTTAACTGGGGCCAACTTAGTAATAATATCACCAAATACTACAGCATTACTTTCAATAGATTTACTTCCGAAACAATTGAGAACAAACCTGATTTGTTTCTATTCATAAAGAATACAGAACATCATCCACCTCTGTGTTAAAATTAAATTCTGTTAGATTTTTAATTCTAGGAAGCAAGCCAAGTTGCCATTTGACTGTCTTTATCTGGCATGATAGGAAAATTAAACAAAATTATAAGTAAGATTAAATATATATATTTAGGTAGCTGTTTACATACTATGTAAACTGCTTTAATTCTATAGTACAGCCTAAATCTTGATACTATATCTGTCATAGCAGCTTATGATTATTACTCTAAAAATATTTGCCCTACGAGACATTCATAGGTAGTATTATTTTATAAACATATTTTAGAATAACTTCAATTTTTTAAAATTTCAGTTATATAAATACTACTCTTTTCATTAATTAAAAATCTTAGAGAAAAATATTTTTGGAGAACATGGAAAAATCACTGCAACTAAATGAAAATCATACAAATATATTGGCTTTTTAACAGAATTGGGCATTTAGGAGAACGATTCTGTCCCTCTCTTCTTCCATGTGAGTCATCATTTGGTGCCTTTCCATCATTATTTGAAGAAGTTTATGAGGAAAAGTTGCAGGACAGGGCAAAATGAATAATTATAATTGATAGTGGGAGGCACTTTATCATCTTCATTTCTGCTGCTGAACTGACAGCTTGTAATTTTATACATCTGCTTTCATTTATAAAGCTTTTGCTTATCCTACTCATTCTTTATCTGTTCACTTTCTTTTTTCTTTTGTTTTTCTTGTTCATGTACAGATACCTGCTTTTTTTTTTCTTTCTACTTGAAGTTACTATAATGAATAGAATATAAAGGGCTCAGTCAAGATATCTTTCTGCTGAATATAATAAACGGACTGTGCATTATATAGAACCAATCAAATGAAATGTAGCACACTATAAAGGCAGTTATGATAAGAAATCCTTCAACATTGTTTTATAAACAATGTTGAAAGTAGTTAGCATATCCTTAATGGGTTTTCTGAAGTGGTGTTTGATTTATTTTCTTCAAACACTCTTTTTTAACATCGTAACTGAAACCAGATTTTATATTTTCTCTGTTGATTGTTTCTTGGAAAAAAAAGAGTGTATATATGATATTAAAGATGATTTTGGTAAATAGAATGGATTCAATAATGATCAGAATATTGACAGTAAATTAGTTACAGGTACTATAAAAGAGCAATCAAGAAACTGTTGTACATAAATAATTATGAACAATGGTGAGGGACTAAACAACTATTTTTATTCAAATGTGGCTATTGGATAAATATTAGAGTTAATTAATATCTGTATCACTTAAAATGCAACCTCAAGGTCCATTAAGGTTTAATGCAGAAATAAATCTCATAAAGAAAAATGAATAAAACCCACTGTGTTCATTTACGTTTTAGTCATTTAGTAAATGTGCTTAGATTTGCAGTCTTAGTACTGGAATTCATTCAACATGAACATAAATGAATATAATTACCTAATAACTATAATAGTAAAATTCAAATACATTAAAAAAATGACAAAATTTTATAGTACAATCCTATATATGCTAAAGAATTGGGGATGATGTAGACAAATATATTTAGTCAGAAGTAATTTCATCTATATTTAATGGGATTTATCCTCAAATCAGCATGTTTAAATAAATTCTTGTATCTCACATTAAAATTCCATCACAAAGAAAGCAAAATATAGCTTATGGAAAAGACACATGAAAACATACAAAATAGTCAACTTTATTATTTATTGTACCTTAAATTCTCAGTATGATAAAAAAAATCAAGATGCTTATGAAATTTCTACTGAATTTATAAATAGATTTTTAATTATAACATAAGATTCGTTATTAAATTTGTTTTCAGACAATTGCAGAAATGTTCTAGTACAAACCAAATTTTAAAAAGATAGTAATTATTAGTGGCTTTTAAAGGCTTATAATGCTACACAGTAGCCAACATCCATTTCTCATTATTTTCCACAGGGAAAATTATATAAGTATCTTTATGTGGTACTACTTTTTAAATCCTAAAGCCTAATAACAAGGATTAATACCTCTGATCCCATTTCTTAATAATTCTTTGTCTGAATAGTGGTTACTTAGTTTCTGTTGCAACAATATGTTGATTGCCATCCTGGGGCAGAGGGATGAAAATTTATATAAATTGTTTTGTCATAAGTGTAATGCAATGCCAGTGGTGAAAATGAACAGTTGCTTTTCTGTGAACTGAAATAGGTAGAGTTATTTGTAACTTCTTGCATGTTCTTACTCATCTGGAATCTACTGAGCTTTTCCCCTCAGCAGACATTTTTAAAATACATGCTTTAAACCAGGTCTTCCTGCTCAGATCTTTGACAACAGCAGTAATGCCATCATTTAACATAGTACTTCTTTCCACCATGTTTGAATCAGCAATATGGGATATATACAGTAAATGTGCATCGTATTCCACAGAGCTGTTGATTAGATTGGTGTTGGTGACATAGGTAAAGGCCAACTGCAAAAAAATCTTAGCAAGAGAGTATGAAAATGCCTACAGCTTTTTCCAAAGCTAGTAATCTTTAAAAAATTCAAACAACAATTGATATAATACAGGGATATTTTGAAAAGCAATGCACACAGTTGCAATAAAAAAGCAGCCTTTTGTTTATTTTAGATACTAAATGCATTTGGTTGGTTGGTTTGATCAAATAACATTGTGGTTTTTTGGTGTGTGTGTGTGTGTGTGTGTGTGTGTGTGTGTGTGTGTGTGTGTG